GTGATGATGTGTCATGAAAGATGGAAAGAGGTTAATGCATAAAGTTTATTTTTATGTCTGCTTAAAGGCACTCGTCATACGATGCACATAGAATGTGGAGACTTGTTTTGTAATCACGAATTTACAGTATTTATCTTCACTCTTTAGATAATGAACGAAACAAGAAACGGTCCCGAAGGAACGATGGCAAAGCTGGTCTCCAAAAACATGTCTGAAGTGGCTTATCAAGCTCTTTGTAACAGCAGAAAATCCACAGGTCACCCAGAAAGTGTCGATTATAAAGTTGAATACGATTTTATGTGTTTACAAAATGATGCCTTAGGTATGGTGTACAAGTTGTATGTATTATTGTATTCGTGTGAAAAAGCATTTCGCTTTTTTTGCTTTTACGTACCAGAAACAAGAAAAGCAGCAAAGAAACTTAAACCGATGACCGCCATCAAAGCGATGCTACGTCATAACAGCTACAAATGTTTACGTCATCCTGTCTGTTGCAAATACCTTAAAACAAAATGGATGGAGTTCGGGTGGAAAATGTATTCAGCCGGATTAACTCTTTTCTTTTTTTCTTGTTTCTCTTAACGTGTATGCTTTTGGTATTCCTTCATACAAAGCGACGATTATTCCAAATAATTCAACGAAGTCTTATGGTATGACTTATTATGTACTTCCAACCATCTCTTCCCGCATTCAAATTACAATTTACGATCGCTGTTTGATATGAATTGAAATTATTCTCTATAGAAATACCACATGCATCGATCAATGTTAAGGTTGCGACTGTGTTCTGTCTTCTATCTGCTAGCATTCAAATTTTGATTGAAATAGGTCAGGTAAGTATTCAAGTCTATCTAGCATGCTTATATTTTGCTCAATTTTTTTTATTCTTGCATATATATTTAAATTTTTTAAAACAGATTATCCCACAAAATTATGCTGTTACTTTTTATAAATAACTTATTCATTTGGTGTGTACGAACAGTGGTGTATAGACTATATGCAAAGGTTCGGTTGCACGAAGCCTGGACAGCGTTATCTATTAGATAGCAAATTTTTTTAAACTTATAAAAAAACACGTTAAAAAGAAAAAGACAAGATTTGAACTTTGTAATCACTGAAATAAAACATTGCTTTGTAAGATTACAAAATTTCTTCGTCGTAATGAAAACACTGACACTTTTTTTACAAGTTCGAAAATTTTCCTATTCAATGGATAACGCTCTCCAAGCTTCGTGCAACCGACCCCCTGCTATGTAAATTTTGGAGTATAAGCATCGTTCATTTCTTAAGAAATCTAATGTTTTTTCAGTAAGATCACACAGCTGTTTATGCATAGCTGGACAAAATTTGCAAGCTGATCACGTTAATTTCTACTGATTAGAATATAAGCATTGGAATTACAGTATAAGTATTACAATATGAATTACAGTATGAGCCAAAGAAGCCCCCTGGTTTAGCATGTTTCTTGAATGTTTAGATTTTGCTACGCAGGACGAATTATTTTCTGGACGATGTCAACGTTTTAGAATGGGTCCTTTACGTAACAACATTCATCTTTGCTGTACCAAGTAACGACAATATCTCTGTAAAGACAAGTTTTCAATGGAAAGCCTGTTCTATAGCCTTGTTTTGTGTTTGGATAAATCTTGTTATGTATCTAAGAAGGTTTGCCTCCTATGGAATCATTATTCTGATGATGAAAAAAATCTTTTTCACATTAATCAAGGTTCGTTTAGATGACCACATGATGCATGTGGTCCATGTGCTACATGTTTGTGAAGAGAAATTACTTTGTACAGCACCCGCTACAGATGACACTTCTTTATATTCGTGTAAGATGATGAATGAATAAAATGATCAAGGTTTGATGTCGTCAACGTTTCTTATTTAGGTCTTGGGACTTTTGATTTTTTTCATCGTCGCGTTTGGAGCAGCTTTTACTGTGATAATGAATGATAGAGAGGAGTTTCGGAGGTTTAGCGTGTCCATCTTAACTACAGCAACAATGACGATGGGAGAGTTTAATTTTAAAGAAAGATTTCTCGGTGATCGAAATGAGTACAACACATTTTACCCGCTACAGATGACACTTCTTATTATTTTCATTGTTCTCATGGCTATCATTATCATCAACCTTATGCTCGCCCTTTCTATTGATGATACTAGTAGCATCATGCAACGCGCAAAGCTGCAGAAACACATTCAGACGGTAAGGACATAAATACAAAGCTACAAAATGGAAGCCTCGGGACAACTTGTGTCAGTGTAGATAGTAGTGAATGAACAACTGAGAAACGGAACAGTCTTCAACTTCTGTGATATAAACTAACACAACGTATGTCAGTGCAGGTATTGATGAGTGAAGATTCGGATAATGTGAAGAGCCTTTAAATTACCTAAAATATAAACAAAGATAACGTGTGTCAGTGTAGGTAGTGATGAATGAACAACAGAGAACTAGAACAGTCTTTACACCAATAGAAGTATAAACTAGAATACGAAATGTGTGCGTAAATTTATTTAATGTTACTTTAGGCTAAAATGATTATTGATATGGAAAGGAAGAGGTACACGTTTTTTACGAGAAGAAGAATATCGTTCGTTGATCCTTTGGATGAATGGCCCAACCGGAAAGATAGCTTCTCTCGTAAGCTTTGGGGAATCATATTTTATGGTCCCGATTTTTCCACTGATCAAGTTGACGAAAACTCGGAACAAATGGGAAAAGAAGACGACACGTTGGCCTTGATTGAAATGGTTAAAGAGCTGCAAATGCAGAATGCTATTTTTCAGAAAAAAGTTATGGCAAGCTTGGAAGAAAACGGTAAACCAAGCAAGAGTATTGATGCAAGTCAAGGTAAAATGTGTATTCTTTTCTATTTATCATTTATTCTTATGAATATTTTATTTGTTACAATCTCTATGTATTTGGCGAAATGTTAAGCTTGCATTGTTTTCGCTATAACACTGCAAAAACTTAATGAATCCCGTTTTCCTTGAGAAAAAAAAAGTAAAATGTTCTTATTCAAAGAGTTTCATACGCAGTAACAATGGGTATGCATTTCTTATTATAGGCCTGTGTGATCCATAATCCTTTTTTTCCAATGATTGATTCTCAAATTTTTATTGTTCAACTGCAATAAAAATGTTACAATATTTCATGATCAGTATTCGATGATCAATCGAATGATCCATTTCTGCATCATTTCAAAATGTGTGACACCATTGCATCTTTTTTTGAAAAGTCAATAAATGATCAGAGATTTACACAAATATAGTAACTATTGTTATTATTATTAGTAAATAAATAGTTTCATTTATTCAACTAGTATGTAACGAAAGCGAGAGATCTTCACGAGATACAATAGTCCAGTTTAGGCGACGTCTTTTAAAGAAAGTAAGTAACAATATAGACGGAATTTCAGTATGGCCTTAAATCATGATAAGTTGATTTTATTTAAGAAGCAAGAGAACGAAACAACTCTGAATAAATCTCGTTTGGAGGAATTAAAGAGACAACATAGTCGAATGAATTCAGAAGATGTTGACGATTGTGTTGGTGACCATACGATCTGGAAATACGAAAGTTGACGACAAATGTTGAAAATAATGGCATTTCATAATTTCCAAAATTTGATTCAACTCATTTGTATACATCTTGCGTGTACGCGTATTGTTTTTTAAAATATAACAACTGTCATTATATCCGACTTATAGACGGTATTCAGTAGAAGTTGAAACAATCCAAAATCTTTTATCAGGGTATTTCACTGCAAAAATTGGACTGTATCCTCACTCACTAAAAATATCATTTTAAGGTAGTTTTCACTTACTCGAAATTTTGTATAAGGAGTCATATCACATTAAATGAAGTAATTAAGATTTCCCAATGGCAACGTTTTTATTTTCTAAAAATTATTGAAGGTATGTTTTCGTGAGGTTTTCATATTGTTGTCAATCCTCAAACGTAAATAATGACAAAAAACTATGCTTTTTTCGATTTACTTGATATGAAAGTATCTTATACCTGTATGACAAAAAAAACAATTGAATGATTTGAGTTTTGTTTTAGATAAAATAGTATGTCGGCATATGTCCATGGATATAAAGTGTTTTTAAAATGCACAAGATTTGGAAAGTGAAGTAAAGTGTATTGTTTGGTTTCAAAAATTAGAAAAAATACACATGTATTTAGTTTCATGTTAACAATTGCTTTTGCAATTCACAAAATTTAATGTTGTCAATTGCTTTCTGTTTTTTAGTCCAAATGATAATTTTATATTTTGTAAATTCATCGCAGATATAATCCTTCATTTTAAACAAAACTGCCGACTGCTTCAACAAAAAACAAAACATAGCTACGTCCCACAAGTAAAGTATGGATTGAAATATTTTGTCTCAAGTATGATCCTAATTCGATGTTGTATATTTCAAAGATACGTGTGTAGCAATGTTGTAAGCCTATTTTGGTAAACGCACGCTTTCTGTGCTATATTAGGCCCGTTTCAAACGTCGCATTTTACAATATTTTATAAAATTCCTCATTATCTTTTGTTTTAAATGCACTAGGCTCATGTAAATGCGACATTTGAAACAGGCCTTAGTGATTAAATGTCCCGCAAACCAAGGTAGGTTTAGTAAAAGTCTGAGGGACGTCACTCCTGTTGTAGTTCTCCAATTAGGGAAAATTGGTTGTTTCAATTTCAAATGTTTTGAGAAGTTATTAGATCAGAATATTGTGAAATTTCTTGAGAAGATTTATCTGATAATAAGTGTTGAATCGTTTCGATTTGCCAAAAAAATTCCAGCATAAGCTAAGAGAAGAACAAAAGACAAAAGAAACCCCAATATGTTTGTCTTTGTAAACATCTAGAGCAATACAAACAAAAGTGTTGACATTCTTGCTTATTTTACTCCTGTGAACCAGGCTTAAACATCTCATAATTTGTTGATGTGGAACAATGAATGTTAAAACAATCATGTGGAACAAAAAGATACAGTGACGTATATATCCCCATGCATAAAGTTTTTTCTTCACTTCAAGTTTTGCATGCACATTTGAACCGCGAGGCGTCATGGAAAGCAGATGTTGTTCGAATGATATGGAACAAGACTATACATATAGACGACAAGTATAAACATTTGCAATTTTGCAATGCAAAACAAAGTTGTTGCCTTCAACTATCACCAATGAAAAGTATCGTTTGTTTTCTTCTGGTTACCAAAATACGTCTCATTTGATTGCTCATGTATTTGAACAAGTTGATAAAAATCAAGACTGTCAACATCTATGAATATAATTGAACAAGAATTGGAATCTTCGAATTTGAAGAAACTTTTCGAAAACATAGAAAAATGCAGTTGAAAATGCGTTCATATTACTGAAGTACAAAAGAAGAAAGGAAACGATTGGTTAATGTTTGCAACACTACTTCGTAATAGGCAATAATTTGGGCACAATCCGATCAACAGCAAGAGGCCTTTGCCGATATTTGTGAGATAATAAGATTGATATGTTACCACGTGGAGAGGAGAAACCAAGTCAAGTGAGTTTCAATGGACATACCGCACCATATCTTTACAATTGAAAGCCACTGGTAAATTATATACAGATGAATTTTATTAGTCCGAAATGTTGATAGCAGCTGCAAATGAAATTTAAGCGAGAAAAACCATTTTGAAATGTATTTCACATGTATTTGCTTCGATATTATGTATGCACGAAAAGAGATCCTATGGCTGGAAACTACAAATGTAAGTGACTATTCTGACGATAAATGATTATTTGCTTACTGATTTATCTCCATTGTTCTTGTGAAAGTCTCAATAGTTTTTATTGATGCTACTGGGGACAAGTAGCAAGGCTTCACGTGCCGTCCCTGATTTCGACTGATTGCTACAACACGCGCAACACTTCCAAACTTCCAGCCCGAGCATGGATCGCCCCTTGGCGCGAAAATATATGATGATGATTGATGCTACTGAATTTTGGTTTGTTTCTTCATTGCACATTAGTCATTACTGAGTATATGTAATGAACAGCAGGAATACACTACATTTTCCATCTTTCTCTAACGCACTCTGAGGTTGAGTGCATAGGTGTAGTTTTCTCAGATTGTGGTGTAGGCTTGCAATGAACAAGAGCCGTAATTGCCTTTTGCTCAAATTTCTGACTCTCTATAATATTTTTAGTTCTTGGGAAACCTCAGGGTAAACAGAACGCCTTTAAACCCTCTTCTAACCTCATGCCTTGCACGACATGACTACAAGATTCAATGAATTTTGGACAGAACTAAAGTCTAGTTTCAAAATTTATCGTCTCAAGAATCTTAGGCTTCATCTACACTATACCGGATTCGCTCATCACGACATCTTCGTTCCCTTTAAAGGAGTAACTGTTTGGAGTAAAAGCTCGTTAAGTTTATAGATTTAGTCTATTTGGTTGTGTTTCTGACGTTGAACAATTTCACTGCCTTTCAATACAAAGAAAATTTAACCTGCTACGATATTTATCCGGTATAGTGTAAACGGGGTCTTATCCTATCCCATCATATCATCGTTATTTAGCATTACGACATTAAAATGCAAATAAATCTGAAGATTATAATGATTTTTTTTTGTTTAAATGGTTGAAGGATTAGTCGTTGTTTCTGTGAAAGGTGACCTACTCCTAAGGAGCCAATCACAATAAAATATTTTAGTCATGACGTCAATTAAAGAAATATTACTGACATATTTAAATTCGCGTGTTTTTACTTCATTGGAAAATTAGTTCATTTTAACGTTGCAGAAAGAAAGGTAAATTCTATCTGTTTACTGACGAAGTATATGAGTTACCATGGAAAGATTAACTATTGTTGGTGCAGGCTTTATAATATGAAAGCTTTTACTGTAAAATGCTTTGACCATGATGTTTAAGCCTTTGATTGTTTGAAAGTTCTTGTTGTATCATTCAAACTCAAATAAATAAAGCCAATCTTGCGACATAGTTTAATGTTTCTTCATTTGGAGAGTCAAAAAGGAAACCTATTGCAATTTACTCACTCTCAAGCCATGTATATCGGATTTATGTTGTAGACTGTACATACACGGAGTTGTGAAATTCTCTTTACCACCTGTGTCAATCACTTCAATTACTTTTACTATAGTTTGTCATTATTCATGTGTCATTGTGATTCATGGCCAAGAATGTTTATCTGTAGTTTGGATTCTTTGTTGATGGCAGTTGTTTGTGCATATAATGATGATGGGCCCCATTGTTATATGAGCCCAACTAAAGGTGGTCAGCTGACACTCACAGAAGATCAGCTCTGCACTAAGCATTCTTTGTGTGATCATTCAACTTGGGTATTGAAGTGATTCCTTTTCCTTTGTTGGAAGTTTTCATGTGAGTACATTGTAAATTGTTATCTATCGAAATGAAATTTCATATGTAGCTACTTTATTGGTTATAGATGCTGGTTTCTTCGTGTATGGAAAAGTATGAATATATTAAATAAACATTGCTTTCGGCATATGTGCGTATGAACATTAACGTCGGCGTGATTGGGCTATAAACGGACTATCTTCTACGAAGATGGAAAACAGGCGAGTGGAAAAACACGATCCATGTCTTGTGGTTTGTAAGTTGAGTAGATTAGTGTTAATATTAACTTGCAAGAGTTCGTGAGATAGTTAGTAAGGATCCTGATGGTCTATTTTTATAATTTGAACCTTAATGAAAAAATTCAAATTTAAAAGAAACAGCTGGATATTTATGACTAGACCTGTCAATTTTCATTTGTCAATCAAGGTCACTTGCGGAGATCAAATAGCTGGCTTTCACTCTCTACTTTTTACGTTAACAACGAAAAATTAAAACACAATAGTTGCAAATAGGGTTCATTAAATTTCTGATGAAAAATATGAGAATAAATTTCTACGATACACATAAGAACAATTCGATGAAAGCAAGAGACTGACGAAGTAACCTGGGTCATGCAGACTGACCAAGACAACACTTGAAAATCAGCTATTAAAGTTTTGTTCTTTTCAATATATTTATTTTCTCTTCTTGATCATTCATTATACTGACACTTAAGTGTTTTTTTTATAGAATAGCTATGTCTGTAGGTCTACTAACTGTCTAATGGATGAAATACCAACTCGGACAGAAAGACCAGGAACAAGCGTCCTCAATGAAAGATTTACATTTGCGACTTCATTATGCATTATGTTTATCGGTATAACGCATTTTCAAATTCAATCGTGAAAAATTTCGGCAAAACTAAATTTTCACAATTTTCTGACAAAACACACTAGTGAAAGTCAGCTATAGCTGGTCTACAGCTTAACTCTATGATAAACCTTTCACATTTTAACTCTGCTATACCGGTCACAAGCCCGGGACTTGTAGCGTATAAGGCTCTCTGCTTTTAAGTAGACTTGTCTCGTTTACAAGGAAGAGGAGTGGAAGGTTAGTTTTCTCAAATGTTGTTAGATAAGGTCGTTATTGTTTGTAGTTGTTGGTTATAGCATTATGCTATCATTCTTTTTTGTATAATAACATTCCAACTATTTAACCTTGTTAAATTGTTGTAAGACAATTTCTTGATAAACAATTGTTGAGTAAAGAAAGTATGAAAAATTTTTTAACGATAAATTTTTTTTAATGTAATTATTATTTCAAAAAAATTGTTTTTATCGAAAATGGCTACGAATTTATTTATAAGTTTTGTAAAATAGATATATTTATGCCGGAAGTTGACCGTCGGCTTTTCGAGCGCTGTATCTTCCAAGCTGAGGAGTACTCATGCATCCATAACACAATCGAGTGTAGCTTGTTGTTACATAGAAAGAACGCTCAAAATAAGGCGAGCCGCCAAACGTTTGGTGACATTTCGACAAATTTGGATCAATAAACGTTAAAATAAACCTTGTCCACACAATGCTTAAAGTGAAAAGGACACGACGTATGTATAAATTTCCATGACTATCAATCTATCATTCATATCACGCAAATTAACATTAACCACTAGCAGACCTGTCTCAAAGTAAATGTTAAGTTTGCAATCGTAGACATTATAATTATTCTCATACACCGAGACTCACACGAGAAGAGGAAGAAGTGTTCAAGTGTTTAATGGAATAATATGTTGTATCTATACACATGAGATGATTGATTTATGATTGGTTGAATTATTACAGTGCTATGATTAAATATGCTTCATAGGAAGATATCGTGGACACATGGTGCATAGGAAGATAGTGTATCCGTTTATCAACAAAGGTAGATAACACTTAACACTGCTACTGTTTACAATGTAACATATCTTAGAGCAATACTTAACAGTAAATCAAAGCTAAATTGCAATACATGCTTGAACACGAAACCACTTAGCTATACCTAGCAATTTTTGGTGACAAGGGGGCCTAAGCAGCTCTTCCCTTGCGATCGTAACTTATAGTCATAATTTTTAGTTATAGCTTGGAGGAGGTGTCGAATGAAGGAAAGAATTTGAATTTACAAAAGTAACAAGTGAGAATGTCATTAGAGTTTCTTACCATTGCATACTTAGTATTTTTATTCATATAAAGAAACATCTCGAGAAAACAACTGTTCTTCAGAGACTGCAGAAAACCGTGTATATTCTTCTCTTTCCATAGGAAAGCAAATTGTCAGGCCAAAGTCAGCGTCGTAAATACAGGATCTGTTCATGTGCTTTTCTGCTCTCTGGCCCCTTCTTTGTGACAGGCTTCTTAAATTAAATTTGTCAACATTCTGTGTATATGTACGTGTATATTAAGGCAAGCATCACAACTAAGGCCCAGTCTACATTAGTGCGTTTTCGCTTGTATGCGTTTTTACAAGACCGAAACGCATCGATCAATTTGCATCGACACAACCGTTTTTGTAGCGTATTCGGCTGTACGCATTAAATCGCTTGAATACGATGATTGCAAATCGTAGCCTGATGTAAAATAGTAATTTATGCATGCTCGGCATGTGTTGAGCGACCAGCCTGATTGCCTGTGACGCTCTTTGCGGGTGTATTATGATAAGGTTTGCATTCGAAGACCGATGTCTTGCTCGAATTGTGCATTGGAAGGCCCATATAGAACGTATTATCGTTGAACAGCTATCTGTCCTTGGTGTAAAGCCATCATGGCGTTGTATAACGGAACAATTTAAGATTTAACTACAAACAATTATATATTCTTGAAGCATGAGAAATTCCATGATTTCCTTAAGATTTCCATATGCCCATCTACCAGACGGAAGGCCTAAACGCATCAAAATGTGTGCGTTTTCAAACGAAAACGTATCAGTGTAAACGGGAATCTTTAAATGATTGGAATATATTCCCCCTATAGGTATTGTGTGAGAGTTCACATGACATATATTTATTAATTGTTTTATAATAATGATATTCAATTGATTTAAATAAGAAAGGATCGTTCCTCTCGCACCTTGGGAACCCATTAGTTGTGTCTAGAATTATAAACTCAATTGCGCAAAGGTTACGTTTGTATGTAGCCGTCAATTTACGATTGTCAAAGTTTAACATCAATCTCTAGTTGCCGATTTGTCATCGACTAAGCAGTATTATCATTGTGTAGGTATGAAATTTTTGTTAAGATATGTCATATAATTACTTAAAAATTAATTATTGACTGTGAAAGGGGACTGCATATTTCTAAATGCTGTTATCATTGGTTTCATGTGAAACTGCTAACACTGAACTACAATTTATCATTTGTAGCGAGAGACTTGCCGAGCGGAAATCAAATTCGTGTAATAAAAATTATTGCCCCACATAAATGTTTAATTAGAGTCATAGAAATAGACCAAAAATTGTAAAATTGAATTTATTGTGACGTTTCGTTTTTACTTAAGACATCTTCAGACAATTAATAAATAGGGTGTTAAGACAAGATATTATATTTACAAAAGGTGTTAAAATACTACTAAAGGAGGCGGTGTCAAATGGAATATATGATAAGGAAGTTGGAAGTAAAGTAAAGAGAAATTAAAAGAGGTTAAGGGGAATGGAATTTGAGTAAAGACGAAACGTCACAATAAATTCAATTTTACAATTTTTGGTCTATTTCTATGGCTCTAATTAAAACTTTATGTTGGGCATTAATTTTTATCATTTGTCATAGTTATAGCTTGCAAACTTATCTTGATCGAAACCAATGTGAACGATTTCTATATAAAAGTTTATGCTGGTGCCTAATCGTACGCATGTGTGAATATACAGCTGTATAAAAATAGTAGATATTAAAATCAGTGTAGACTATAAATATCTGTCTCAGTTCAGAAATTTTACTTTATAAGTACACTATCATTTATTTTCAAATGCTGTAATACTTAGCAAATGCAACTTTATGCGTCATCGACATGAAACAAATATACATAACATATGTTATAAACAAAGAAGTGGTTCATGTATAAAATATTATGTACTGTGGAACTGCCGCAAATTTTCTGAATGTTTTCTAAGTTATGATTGTGTTAGGAACACCATATATGGAGGACTTTTCATTTACGTGACGTGACTCGGACTGTTCCTTCTCCCGACCTTTTTGAAAAAGTTCGATTGTTGCTGTCTGTCTGTCTGGTGATCTCTATGAGCTATATTTTCGTTTCAGGAAAATTCAATGTGAATGACAACCCCCTGCTCCGCAAAGTACTTCATGCTGCTGTGAACAGTGGAGATGAAAGTACAGTAAAAGTTTTTCTTGAACATGATAAAGATATCGGCCGATCCTGTTTACAAGAAGAAATCAATGATAGCTATTTGATTCATGATATTTCTAAAAAGGGAATGGAGGATATTTTGTCACATTTAGTGTCGAAGACAGAAGATATCGTTGCTCAGCAAATGAAGAGAAAGGATGAACAGGGATTTACTCCACTACATCAGTAAGTGATTTGTATAGTTATCTGTTTGAAAGATGGAAATTGTTCTTTTTTAGCCTTATAATTAGTGTTTTGAGCACATGCAAGTTTATTAAATTGACTCTTTAGTGGTCTGTAGCAGATCAGCATCAATCAATAAAGAAAATGTAAACCAACTTTTGTTAAATTTGCCCCTTAGAGGATAAATACCTTTCATTTTATGTCTTTAACAATAAACTCATCTTCGGTCTTATGCATTATTTATTGTTTGTAATGTCTTTTTTTCATTTTAGAGCTGTAATCAACGATCAAAGCAGTCTTGTTAGGTACATTGGATCAATGAACATGGATTTTGTAAATGAAAAGACGGAAAATTCTCAGTCTGCTTTAGTCCTCGCTGCAGAACGTGGCTATCAGCAGGTCATCGAGGAACTGCTGGATCTGAATGCTGATTTTAACATCCGCGATGGCAGCAATGGAAACAGAACAGTTCTTCACTATGCAATCGCTTATCCTAAAATATTAAAAATTTTACCTAAGGTATAACTTCATTTTGTTTGTTGTTATATGTAAGCTATTAGATTCTAGAGATGGATAGAGAAGCTTTAAACTTATATTTTCTAAAAACGTTTTAGAAAAACGATCGTATCCTATCATTGATAAATGCAAAAAGAGAAGGTGGTGGTTATACTCCCATTCATGACGCAGCTTATAACGGACTTCTTGAGGCAATTGAGTTCATTTTCTTTCAAGCTCGTTTAAGCAAAACAGTAAGCTTTAAATACCACGTTCTTTGTAGAGTGTAAGAATTCTGCTGGAACATGGCGCTAATCCGAATGTCTTCTCAAAGAGATATCGGACACCACTATATTGCGCTGTTCTTTCTCAGAGCTCTGATGTGGTTGAATTAATCCTCGTCCATGAACCAGCTTTGATGAACAAGGTCGATGATACAAGGCAAACCCCGCTTCATGCAGCAGCAAAGGAAAATAGCTCCGAGGTCGTCAAATGTCTACTGAATAACGGAGCAATCATGTTAACGTAAATATTTGTTTCTTCATTTCTGTCAAGATCACTAGGAAAAGAAGAAAAAAAAGCAAAAGGCTAATTTAAGCCAAATGTTTTGCTTACTTTATAGCGACAAAGATAAGTCTACTCCTCTTCATATCGCAGCGCAGCACGGACATCTCAACATTGTTAAATTATTGATGGAGCATGAACCTTCCATGACCGATTGCGAGAACGTCAAAAAACGAACAGCACTACTCGAAGCTGCTTCACATGGCAAAATAGATGTGGTGAAATATTTATTGGATGAAAAAGCAGCCATTACGAAAGATGATGAGTTTTTTAACTGCTTGGATTGGGCCATCATAAATGACGATACAAAAAGCGCTATGGTGATGATGTGTCATGATAGATGGGAAGAGGTATGTTTCATTATAATGTATTTGATTTTATTGTCAGTAAAGCAATTTGGTGGAGGGCATAGCATTCGGTTTGACAGTAAGTACATGTTCAACATGTTTCTTATTGTTGTGCATCTTCGGTGTACTGGTGTTTTTGTGTTTTGACAAACTGTCGTTTATGTGTTCAGATTATGTTGAAGACAGAAAATGGTCCAGAAGGAACGATGGCGAAGTTGGTTTCTAAGAATATGTCCGAAGTGGCGTATCGAGCTCTTTCTAACAGCATAAAAACCACAGGACACCTAGAGAGTATTGACCATTTGGTTGAATACGACTTTTTGTGTTTACAAAATACAGGTGTGGTGAGCAAGCTATCTTATATAGAAAATAAAGATCTACTTGTGAATCTTAACATAATCAAAAAAAGTTCTCAAAGGACGTTAAAAAATTGAGAATGCTACAATTCTCATAGTAGCTACTACGCTCAATGGTTCCGCAAAGTGGGGGATGGGGGGTTGTGCAATATTTTCTACACAAAGAAAATATTATTATTACATATTTTCTCCATTCATGCAATTCAAAAATATGAACAAACAATTATAATCTCCATCATCATCACCATCACCACAACAGCCACCATAAACACAACCACCACAACAACAACCACCACCACTATCACTACAACCACTAGTTAATGAATCATTGCTTCCATGCATTGATGAAGTATTGTATTGTCTGCAAAAAGTCGCCAAGGTTGGATAAAAGAAACAGTCACGTGGTTGGATTATTTATATCTTATCATATATGAATAAGACATTTTGCATAGACATAGCCACTGACTACGCTTTTTAGAACCGTGTTTTCACTTTACTGTTTTCATCGTGTACATCCTCTGTCTCCTTTTCCACAAGGCTTTCCTTATAGTTATCCTTCTTTCGCAGTTACAGACAAGACAGTTAAAAAAGTCAAGCCATTGACCGCCATCAAAGCGATGCTGCGAAATAGCAGTTACCAATGCCTATGTCATCCTGTATGCTGTAAATACCTTCAAGCAAAATGGATGGAATTTGGATGGAAAGTGCACACAACAAGTTTTATGTTTTATTTCTTGTTTTTGGTTTCTCTTAACGTCTACGCGTTTGGAATTCCTTCATATAAGGCGTCTGTTGGCAAAGATGGTAATGTGAAGATTAATCAAAATACATAACAAGGGTAACTCCAAGTAACGTAAACATTTTGATTCAACGTTTCAACTTTATTTAGTCATCGTCAGAAGTGATTATATTACATGTGTTACATTATGTTACATGATTATGTTACAGAAGGCAGATAGTTCTCTTTTGCCCCGACACAAGACTGCACGAACATGCTACTACAGACAACAAATCAAAAATCTATATACTGCGCACGCATTTAATATAATCACGCCTGATGATGATTAAATTGAGTAGAAATGTTGAATCAAAATGCTTACGATGTTTGGAGTTACCGTTGTTATGTATTTTAATTAAAATACTCAGTGGTTCCCGAAAACATTTTCGAGGAGATTAATTATTTTACGATTTTCTTGAATTTGTTTAGTTTTATGTTTTCGTTATTGAAACGATTTGTGTTTAGAATTACCAAATGCGTCGATAAATGTTAAGGTAGCGATGCTTATCTGTCTCATATCTGCTGGCGTTCAAACATTGAAAGAAATCTGTCAGGTTAGCATTTTCAGTTTGTGGTCGTTAAAGTTCCCTCGTGTAAACCATGTATATTATAAATACCACTTTATGTTTGTGCTCGTTGCAAAGCTGTTATAAAATATTAGGGACTGCCAACAAAAAATGAGACTTATTCATGACAGCAGAATGATACGTAGAATGAAAACGTATGTATTTTGCCTTGGAACATCGGCTTTCTCAGTGAAAGTGTGATTGCAGTTGCAGAACAACAATAGCATGACGTCAACAATATGGCTGCTATTTGTTAAAGTTTATTTATCTTTTTAGTTTTATTTTAATTTAGTGATGAACGTTACAGTTTTAATTGGCAGCATTACTATTTTGTTTCATTTTTTCTTCAACAATAATCCTTCATTTCTGTAACATTTCTCTAAGAAATGACAAGCTACGAACCTACAACAATAATTTTGTGTATAGGGCTGATTTTTTGTCCTCTCCCCTATATAACAATGGCGAAATCGTTAAAAAGGAATGTACAGAATATGTCTTCGCTTAATTTGATCTCTTGATATTGACATACTTATTTAATTATGTAGTTATTCGTTTACAAATTCAATTATTTTATGGACAAAGTCAACTATTTGGAATGTGTTCTCTACGTATCAACATTCATCTTTGCTGTACCAAGTAACGACAGTATGTCTGTAAAGACAACTTTTCAATGGATGGCCTGTTCTGTAGCGTTATTCTGTGCTTGGATAAATCTCATTATGTATTTAAGAAGGTTTGCCTCCTACGGTATAATTATTCTCATGATGAGGAAAATTTCCTTCACACTAATCAAGGTTCGTCTGCTGAAGTTATGAGTTCTCCCTCTACCCTAATGTTTAATGATATCAACAATTCTTATTTAGGTCATGGGTTTTTTAATATTTTTCTTGGTCGCTTTTGCTGCCGCTTTTACAGTAATAATGAATGATAGACAGGGATTTGAGAGGTTTAGCGTGTCTATCTTAACTGGAGCAACGATGACGATGGGAGAGTTTGATTTTAAACAGACATTTCTCGGTGACCACTCTGATTACGACACATTTTATTCACTACAGTTAGTCCTCCTTGTTGGTTTTCTCGTTGTTATGCCTATCATTATTATGAACCTTCTGCTTGCCCTTGCCATTGATGATACCAGTAGCATTATGCAACACGCTAAGCTGCAGAAACACATTCACATGGTAAGGATATTCATGAAGCAATCAAATTAGATCCTAAAGATAACGTATGTCAATGAAGTTAGTGATAAATGATCGTCAGACAACAAGAACAGTCTTTACAGTATCTAAAATATAAACTAAGATAACGTGTGTCTGTGTAGGTAGTGATGAATGAGCAATGGAGAACGAGAACAGTCTTTGCACTATCTAGAATATAAACTATGATAACGTGTGTCATTGTAGGTAGTGAAGAATGAAAACAGATAACGGGGACAATTTTTACACTACTTAAACTAAGATAACGTGTAGGTGGTGATGAATGAATGAGGTGAATAAAAGCAATCGTTATGATATTTATAACATTTTTCTTTTAATCGATTTAGGCAAAAATGATAATTGACATAGAACGGAAGAGGTCTTCATTTCCATGGCGAAGTAGAAAAACACTCATACCTTGTTTACAGGAGAGACCCAACAAGACATACAACTTTACCCGCGCAGTTTGGGATTTTATATTTTACGGTCCTGATTTTTCTACCAATGTAGTCGATGAGAGCCTGGAAGAAATGGGAAAGAAACAAGACATGTCAGCGTTGATTGAAATGGTGAAAGAACTGCAAAGGCAGAATGCTGTTTTGCAAAATAAAATGTTAGAGATTCAAAACGAGTTGACAATGGAAAGGAATCGTAGATCAATCGAGTATGTCCGAATGAGTCAAGATAAACAAAACGCTACTACTCAATTTCGAGGTAACATTTCTTATTTGTGAAAATTTTACTGAATTTTCCACAAACACACTTCAAAGCCATGTAAAGACTGTTCTCTGTCTCTGTTGTTCATTCATCACTACCTACACTGACACACGTTATCTTAGTTTATATTTTAATTAATGTAAAGACAGTTCTCCTTCTGTGTTGTTCATTCATCACTACCTACTTTGACCTACGTTCCTTAGTTTATATTTTAGGTAGTATAAAGACAGTTCTCGTTCTCTTTTGTTCATACTTCACTACCTACACTGACACACTTTATCTTAGTTTATATTTTAGGTAGTAAAAGACAGTTCTCGTTCTCTTTTGTTCATACTTCACTACCTACACTGACACACGTTATCTTAGTTTATATTTTAGGTAGTAAAGACAGTTCTCGTTCTCTTTTGTTCATACATCACTACCTACACTGACACACGTTATCTTAGTTTATATTTTAGGTAGTAAAAGACAGTTCTTTGTCTCTTTGTCATACATCACTA